CTGGAGTCTGTGAGGGAGACAGTTCAGTTAGTGTTGGCTTGGTTGGAATTGATCTTGAGAGATTCAGGTTTGTACCTTGAGATGCGTAGAAGAGACTTTGGGAGAGGAACTGTTGGGTCCAGAGATGGTTTGGTTCAGCAGAGTCCGATAACTGTTTCAGCGTCTTACTTCTAGTGAGGGTGTTGACCTTGGTTTGAGTTCCCAGCTCTAAATCCAGAGCTGCTTGGAAATCCAGAAGAGAGTCTTCAGGTTTGGCTCAGAGGGCAGGCTCGGCAGGTCAAGCTCTTCCAGAGCTTCCCAGGAGAAAAACAGGTAACCTGGAAGCAGAGACAAAAATGTTAGAATCCAAACTGGACTCAGAGATAGCAAAGTTCTCAGGGGGTTCTAGGCTTAGGTGTTAACCAAACGGATAAAACACTGCGGCGTCGAGGCAAGGTCTGAAGACAGCTTAAGTACTGTGGTCCTCCTGATGAGATGATCAGTCACAGGTGTGCAGGCAGCTCAGCCCAGGAGGATCCACGGCGGACTCTGCTGGAGGAAGGTGGAACTTCTCCAGCTCCCAACAGTACCCCCCCTCAACAACCGCCTCTTGGCGGTGCGGAAGAGGTAGATGGGAGGGAGCGCTCGTACTCCTCGATCAAGGAAGGGTCGATGATGTAGGAACCAGGAACCCACTGGCGATCCTCTGGACCGTAGCCCTCCCAATCGACGAGGTACTGCCAGCCGCGACCTCGCCGACGGGAGTCCACGATCCGGCGGACGGTGAAGGCAGGATGTCCATCGACTTCCAGGGCGGGTGGAGGGGAGTCGGATGGAGGGCAAAGAGGACTCGAGATGACAGGTTTTACTTGGGAGACGTGGAACGTGGGATGGATGCGTAGGGTCGGAGGAAGTTGTAAACGTATGGCAAATGGATTGATTACCTGGACAATCTTGTATGGACCGATGAACTTGGGCGAGAGTTTACGAGACATCCCCTTGAGGGGAATGTCCCGTGTGGACAGCCATACCTCATGTCCGACCGAGTACTCAGGGGCAGGACGTCTCTTGGTGTCGGCGAATCGTTTAGTCATCTCAGAGGTACGATTGAGAGAGGTGATGGTATCCCTCCAGATGCGCTGGCAACGGCGGATGTGCTGATTGACGGATTGGACCGATATCTCTCTCTCGTCTGCGGGGAAAAGAGGAGGTTGATAGCCAAGACTGACCTGAAAAGGCGATTGACCGGTGGAAGCTGATTTGAGAGAGTTATGGGCGTATTCGATCCAGGTGATGTACTGACTCCAATCGGTGGGGTTATTGGAAGTTAGGCATCTGAGGGTTGACTCGAGGTGTTGGTTCATCCTCTCGGTTTGGCCGTTGGACTGCGGGTGATAGCCAGAGGTTAGTGATGACTTACAGTTTAATGCGGAACAGAATGCCTTCCAAACCTGGGAAATGAATTGGGGTCCACGATCAGAGAGAATGTCCTGAGGGATTCCATGGAGTCGAAAAACGTGTTTGATCAAAAGCTGAGCAGTTTGAAAGGCCGTAGGAAGTTTTCTGAGAGGGATCAGGTGACAGGACTTGGAAAATCGATCAACTATGGTGAATATTGTAGACATACCTCGAGAGATTGGGAGACCAGTGACGAAATCGATTGCGATGTGGGACCATGGGCGCGTGGGCACTGGGAGAGGCTGTAGCAAACCTGAGGGTGGTTGGTGTGAAGCCTTATTTCTGGCACAAGTAGAGCAAGCCAACACATACTCTTTAACATCCCTGTGAAGAGTAGGCCACCAAAAACGTCTTGAAATCAGGGAGATGGTCCTGCTCACCCCCGGATGAGCGGAAAATTTGGCAGAATGCATCCATTGTATAAGGCGAGATCTGACAGACGAGGGGACATAAGTTCGGTTAGGAGGACCATTACCTGGGTCAGGTTCCGAGGCCAGGGCAGAGTTGATTAAATCGGTGATTTCCCAGGTGACAACTCCTACAGTACAAGAAGCAGGGAGGACAGGTTGAGGTGACTCGGATTGATCCACGGCGTAGAGACGAGAGAGAGAATCGGGCTTGACGTTCTTTGATCCAGGTCTGTAAGAGATAATGAGGTTGAATCGAGAGAAGAATATGGACCACCTTGACTGACGAGGATTGGCTTGTTTTGCGGACTGGATGTAGGCGAGATTCTTGTGATCTGTCCATACAAGAACTGGGTGCTCAGCTCCCTCCAGCCAGTGTCTCCATTCCTCCAAGGCTAATTTTATGGCCAAGAGCTCTCGGTCTCCAACGTCGTAGTTCTGCTCTGCGGGAGAAAGTCTACGGGAGAAGAATGCACATGGATGAATTCGTTGATCCGTGTCGAGTCTTTGGGATAGGACTGCCCCCACGCCTGAATCAGAAGCGTCAACCTCCAGGATGAATTGTTTGGACGGATCGGGTTGGATCAGCACTGGAGCTCGGGAAAACAAAGTTTTAAGTTTATCAAATGCAGATTGAGCCTCGGGGGTCCAATGGAAGGTTCTCTTGGATGATGTTAAGGAGGTTAGTGGGAGAGCGGTTTGGCTGTAGATTCTGATGAATCGTCGGTAGAAATTAGCAAAACCCAAAAATCTCTGCAGTTGTTTACGGTTCTCTGGAACCGGCCACTCCAAAACTGCTTTTATTTTCTTTTCTGAAGGCTTAACCTGCCCGCCCTCGAGCACAAACCCCAAAAAAGTTACTGAAGACTGATGAAAGTCACATTTCGCGGCTTTGACGAACAGTTTGTTTTCCAGCAGTCTCTGAAGAACCAGGCGGACATGTCTCTTATGCTCTGAAAGATCCTTGGAATAGATTAGAATGTCATCTATGTAGACAAACACGAACACATTTAGGAAGTCTCTGAGAACATCATTCACTAAGGCCTGAAAGCATGCAGGGGCATTAGTTAGTCCAAAGGGCATCACCAAGTATTCAAACTGGCCCAAGGGAGTCTTAAATGCTGTTTTCCACTCATCCCCCTCTCGTATTCTGAGGAGGTGATAGGCATTCCTCAGATCTAGCTTGGTGAAAACGGTTGCCTCTTGGACAGGTTCAAAAGCAGAAGCGAGCAAAGGGAGAGGGTACTTGTTTTTGATTGTTATCTGGTTCAAGCCTCTATAATCGATACAGGGACTTAGTGAACCATCCTTCTTTCCAACGAAAAAGAAGCCCGCGCCCAAAGGAGACGAAGAGGGGCAAATTATTCCAGCGGCTAAGGACTCATTTATGTATTTCTCCATGGTTTCTCTTTCTGGTTTGGAGATGTTGTAAAGTCTACTGCTGGGCAGCGGGGCTCCGGGTAATAGCTCGATAGCACAGTCGTATGGTCTGTGTGGTGGAAGGGACGTAGCACTGACCTTACTAAAGACAGGGGCCAGATCATGGTAGTCGGGAGGTACTGAAGAAAGGTCAGGGACGTCCATCTCCCCCCCACCTCTAGGGGACCCCACAGCGGGAGCTGCCGAACGGAGGCATGTTTCATGACATCGAGTGGACCAGGACTCCACATGACGATCAGTCCAGTTAATATGGGGATTATGTTTCTCCAGCCATTCGAAACCCAGCACCAGAGGGGAACATGCGGAGGGAAAAAACAAAGAAAGTTATGGTTTCTCGATGATTACCTGAGATCAGAAGCTCAAGGGGTTGGGTTTGATGGGTTACTTGGTGAAGTCTCTTCCCATCGATTGCTGAGACACTAAGAGGCTGGGTTAAAGGAACTGTTTCAATTTGCAGCTGTTGGACAAGATTGGAATCAATTAAATTTCGCTCACAACCAGAATCAATGAAAGCAGAGAATGAGAGGCTCTGGTCCGAGAAGAATAAAGTGGCTGGAAGCAAAAGGCGAGGAGATTTTTCAGAGTTATCATGGCCCGCCAGACTCCTCAGAACCTCTGACGGGCCCCGGCTTTTGATTTCGCTGGGCATGAAGCGATGAAATGACCACTCTCACCGCAATAGATGCAAAGCTTGCCCAAAAATTGTCTTTGCCTTTCTTCAGGAGTCAGCCTAGTGTGTCCAACCTGCATGGGTTCGATCTCCGTTTCTCCAATATGTGTAGCCTGAACAGGCAAAGGGAGAGGCTGGAACTTAGGCTTCGGTCTGGATAACTGTTCTGTAGGAGCAGAAACAACAGTCACATTATTTGAGGCGGGGGCATAGGAAGACAACCCCTGATTCCTGTATTTGAGGCTGTTTCTAGCTCGGATCCAGTTATCCAGCTTAATTGTCAAATGGATAAGTTCCTCGAGAGTAGCAGGTTCATCGAGGGTAGCCAGTTCATCCTTTATATTTTCATTTAATGCCTCAAAATAGGCGCCCTTTAGAGCGCTTTGGTTCCATCCGGAAGCTGCAGCCTTAACCCGGAAGTTAATAGAGAACTCCGCCACTGACGAATTCCCCTGTTTGAGATGAAAAAGAGCACGAGAGTCAAGGGTTTGATCGGTCTCCTGATTGAAAACTTGAGAAAACTCAAAAATAAAGTCTGAGTATTGACAATTTAGGCTTTCATCAGAGGCAAACTGGCTTGAGCCCAGGCCAGGGCTCTTCCTGTCAATTGAGATAAAATGAAAGTTATTTTCTTGTGGTCCGTGGGAAAACTGCCAGGAGAGTTCAGAAAAATAAGACGGCATTGAAGTAAAAATCCCTTGCAGTCTTTTACATTACCGGAGAATTTCTCAGGTAGACTTGGGCGGAACTCTGGTGATGACGTCACTGCCGGTGACCTCGGAGGCGGAACTGGACCCGGAAATGGTTGTACGGCCGGCGTGGCGTTAGCTCTGTTCAAGTGGTTAGCATAGTTTTGAACAACTTGGTTTTGTAACTCAATGTGGGTGTTTAACTCACTGAGAGCCTGAACATGTCCATGGATTTGAGCCTCCCGCTCCTCCAATAGTCGACGGAGGTGGTCTGCTGGGCCTTGTGTTTGGCCGCAGTGTTCTGTCATGATGGGTTTACAGAGAGGCCCAAGATGCAGAACACAACGGACTCAGGGGAAAAGTTAACAAGTTTATTGTTACACAAGCACGTAGTAAATGTACAGTTTGCTGGTTCAGGCCTGGGGACTGGTTCACTGGAGTCTGTGAGGGAGACAGTTCAGTTAGCGTTGGCTTGGTTGGAATTGATCTTGAGAGATTCAGGTTTGTACCTTGAGATGCGTAGAAGAGACTTTGGGAGAGGAACTGTTGGGTCCGGAGATGGTTTGGTTCAGCAGAGTCCGATAACTGTTTCAGCGTCTTACTTCTAGTGAGGGTGTTGACCTTGGTTTGAGTTCCCAGCTCTAAAACCAGAGCTGCTTGGAAATCCAGAAGAGAGTCTTCAGGTTTGGCTCAGAGGGCAGGCTCGGCAGGTCAAGCTCTTCCAGAGCTTCCCAGGAGAAAAACAGGTAACCTGGAAGCAGAGACAAAAATGTTAGAATCCAAACTGGACTCAGAGATAGCAAAGTTCTCAGGGGGTTCTAGGCTTAGGTGCTAACCAAACGGATAAAACACTGCGGCGTCGAGGCAAGTTCTGAAGACAGCTTAAGTACTGTGGTCCTCCTGATGAGATGATCAGTCACAGGTGTGCAGGCAGCTCAGCTCAGGAGGATCCACGGCGGACTCTGCTGGAGGAAGGTGGAACTTCTCCAGCTCCCAAAACATCTCTTACAAGAGAAAACATTTAGAAAATCATGTTTGCCAAACAATCCAGTGATCTTCTCAAAAACAAGATGTTTCCATGGGTGTGTAAGGCAGAGAGGCTGGACTGCTCAACCACAGAGGTTTGAAGACTTCCAGTGGTTGAAATTGTGTCAAACACAAAGAATCAAGCAAAACTAATGAACAAGCTTTTCTCTGTGCTTGGAGTTCTAACATTCATGTTTTTTCTATTGCTTTTGTTTAGACCCATGATTTGAATGCACCTTCTCGCCGTGTGTTTCAAAAGCCAGCTGAATAGAGTGGACAACAAAGACAAGTACCTGCAGAGAGTTTTGCATTTATTGCAACTCAACCTAAATGACATTGAGGGGGAACGCCATCTGACGGGCCAATAAATCCTGTCAGATAGCGTTTCCCCTGCTTAACATGGGGGGAACGGTATCTGATGGGGTGTAAATATCATCAGGCTGCATTACCTCCACTCATTGGTGTGAAGCTTTTTAACAGGGCGTTCAGATCTGGTGAGTGTATGAACTTAAAAACTGTTGATGTATGATTCTGAAATCCTGTGTGTTTGGGTTGTTATAGTTGTTATAGTTGTTCATGCTCTCTGTAGCACAGGGCGGCTGTTACGCGTCTTTAGCGTGAGGTAGCCATGGGGTCATGGGGAGAGGAGACACGGGATGAAACAGGTAAAAACTGATTAACTATCTATCGAGAAATTAAATCATAAGAAAGCACAATGTTGCTAGCATAGCTGCAATGCTGATTTTGAGGGGTTAAAAATCAGGTTGCAGAACGTTTTTTCTCCAACTATGATGTTAATTAGGCCTGACGTCTCATACTCATAAAGACATATTTGTGGTCAACTATGACTAAAAAGAGACTATCAAGTTTGGTTGTACTCAGCATTGAATCAAAACGCACAAAGGCATTGGATCTAAATCTAGACAACGCAGCTCCTTTGAAAATGAAAACCGTTAAAAATAGAAAGCTTGCTCCTTGGTTAAATGCAGAGCTGCGTACTTTGAAGCAAAATGCTAGGAAACTGGAGAGAAAATATCGCTCCACAGGCCTGCGAGAGTCCTTCCTAGTCTGGAAAAATGGTTTACTGCTGTATAAGAGGACCCTTTGTAAAGCAAGAGCAGCATACTTCTCCTCATTAATAGAGGAGAATAAGAATAATCCTAGATTTCTTTTTAATACAGTTGCCAAACTCACCCAGAGCCATAGCTCTGTTGAACCGTCCATTCCACCTGCTCTTAGCAGCAATGATTTTATGGGATTCTTTATAAATAAGATTGATCTTATTAAAAATAAGATCATAAGCACTCCTCTATCCGCGATTGTACCTGAGGTAGTCATGGAATCTGAACCGGGTTTAGACTGCTTTGATCCAGTTGAACTCTCTGAATTAGCAAAATTATTGTCTTCATCTGGGCCTTCAACTTGTATGTTGGATCCGGTTCCAACCAGGTTATTTAAGGAGGTATTCCCTTTGATCTCCTCCTCCATTTTAGATGTGATTAATCTATCTCTGCTACAGGGATATGTACCTAAAGCTTTTAAGGTTGCTGTAATTAAACCTCTGCTTAAGAAACCGTCTCTTGACCCAGATGACTTGGTCAATTATAGACCTATATCCAATCTTCCTTTCTTATCCAAAATTCTTGAGAAAGTAGTTGCCAAACAAGTTTGCGATCACTTCCACCATAATGAACTTTTTGAAGAGTTTCAGTCTGGCTTTAGAGCTCATCATAGCACTGAAACAGCTCTGGTGAAAGTCACTAATGATATTCTCATGGCCTCAGATAATGGACTTGTATCTGTGCTCGTCCTGTTGGATCTTAGTGCTGCATTTGATACAGTTGACCATAATATTCTTTTAGAAAGACTTGAATATTTTGTTGGAATTAAAGGAACAGCACTAGACTGGTTTAAATCTTATCTATCTGATCGAATTCAGTTTGTTCATGTTAATGATAGATCTTCAACACGCTCAAAGGTTACCTGTGGAGTACCACAGGGATCAGTGCTAGGACCAATTCTCTTTACTTTATACATGCTCCCAATTGGTGGAATTATTAGACAGCATGGGATTAATTTCCACTGTTATGCTGATGATACCCAGCTATATCTGTCTATAAATCCAGATGAAGCTAACCCATTACATAGATTACAGGCATGTCTTGAAGACATAAAAACCTGGATGACTCTTAACTTTCTGCTTCTGAATGCAGACAAAACAGAAGTTATAGTCTTTGGACCAGAGTCTCTGAAAAAGAAACTGATTAGCCAGTCACTTCATTTGGATGGGATTAAACTGATTTCAGATAATAAAGTAAAAAATCTTGGTGTTATTTTTGATCAGGACCTGTCATTTAAATCCCATATCAAAGAGGTTTCTAGAATTTCCTTCTTTCATCTGAGGAACATTGCAAAAATTAGAAATATCCTGTCCAGGGGTGATGCTGAGAAACTAGTCCATGCATTTGTTACTTCAAGGCTGGACTATTGTAATTCTTTACTATCAGGAAGTCCACAAACTGTAGTTAAAAGCCTTCAGCTGATCCAAAATGCTGCAGCCAGAGTTCTAATGAAAATTAAAAAGAGAGATCATATCTCGCCTATCCTGGCTTCTCTTCATTGGCTTCCTGTTAAATCAAGAATAGAATTTAAAATCCTCCTTCTCACATATAAAGCCTTAAATGGCCAAGCTCCATCTTATATCAGAGATCTGATTGTTCCTTATGTTCCTAACAGAGCACTTCGCTCTCAATCTGCAGGTTTACTAGTGGTTCCTAGAATTTCTAAAAGTAGAATGGGAGGCAGATCTTTTAGTTATCAGGCTCCTCTCCTGTGGAACCAACTACCAGTTTTAGTCCGTGAGGCAGACACCCTGTCTACTTTTAAGGCTAGGCTTAAATCTTTCCTTTTTGATAAAGCTTATACTTAGGGTGGCTCAGGTTATCCTGAGCTATCTCTATAGTTATGCTGCTATAGGCTTAGACTTTTGGAGGACATAGGGACCCCCATTTCATCATTCTGCTTCATTCTCTCTCTGTTCTCCTATTCTGCAGAATCTGTTAGTTCAATCTCTAACCTTCTGCTCTCTCTGCTTTTCCTCAGAGTAGCTTTGCCTCGTCTGTTCCTGTTTGGCTGTGACGTCATCCTGGAAAGAAACATCAGCTGTGCTGCTTCTATCAACACCCTTGTTTATAGATGTTGGAGATCGGCCTGTTTTCCAGTGTGGTCCTGTTTCTCTGACCGTGACTGAGTGGATGGGCTCTCTTCGTCCTCTGGCATGGGAGCTGCCTTGGAGCTCGTCTGCCTGGCTGTGTGTTTCCTGGACGGGGCCGCCTTTTACAGCTGCTTTTTGTATCTCTGCTTCTGTCTCCTTGAACCCCAGTCGGCCTCGGCAGATGGCCGCTCACACTGAGCCTGGTTCTGCTGGAGGTTTCTTCCTGTTAAAAGGGAGTTTTTCCTCTCCACTGTCGCTACAAGCATGCTTAGTGTGGGGGATTGTATTTGAGTCAATGCAATCAACTGGTTTTCCTTAGATAGAAAACTTTGTATCAATTTGACTGTATGATCTGGTTGAACTGTAAAGTGCCTTGAGATGACATGTGTTGTGAATTTGGCGCTATATAAATAAACTGAATTGAATTGAATTAAATAAATTTGTGCATCAATGCTAACGCTTGCTTCCTCAATGCCAGCCGCCATTGTTGTTGGAATCTCACTGTCGCTTCTCCACTCCAGGACACACCCACCCTGCGTCCTGATTGGACAGACCATAAATTCGGTTGGGGAAATCACTTTCAATGAGCGGGTTCCCAGATGTATGTGAGTGGAGCTGGGCGGAGCGAGACATGCATCTGGCTGTTGTCAGGTTAAGAAATCGCCGCATTCAGCTGTTATAGTCATGTCAACTTTATGTTATTCTCTCTGGTGAGCCTTTACAGAGCCAAAAAATAAAACCAAAAGTGTTAAAAGTAAAGTTAAAAATGTGATACTGGTGTAAATCCTGCTTAATATGAAGCAGTGTTGTTGTTTCTTTTTTTGTATATATAGTACACTGATAAAAATGACTTTTTGGTGTAGTAAACTCTATTAGAGTATTTGTAATCATTTCTAATTAGAATTTTTAAGCTTCTGTAAGAACTAGAGTTTCTGAAGTATAATTAAACCTTTTTTTAATGTAGGCCTAATACATGAATTTTGGAAGAAGAGTAAATTTTACTTAGATTTTCTTAAACTATTTAAATATTTACCAGTTGTATGAAGATAAACCTACAAATACTGGATAAACATTACTCAAAAAATGTAGCATTTTGAAGCGGTAGCACGGCGCATGCGCACTGTAGTGTCACAGCAGGACTGATTCTGCTCCGAGTCCTGACGTTATAGGATCAGACACGGAACTCCGGACCAAAACAGCAGAAACTCTATTTTAACAGTAGATGTTACACAATGTCCCTTTAAATGTTCAAGTTAAGAAGAAAGTAGTCAAACAAACAGAGGTATTCTTGTGTTCATTCTTCCATGATAAATAAGTTACTTTGATTTATGCAGCTCTTTTATTTGAGAAACAAATGGACAACCGGTGTGACTTCAACAAACATATCCTCAAGATTGTTGCTCTCC